CACTCTTATCTAAGGTACATATTACGGATCCATCGAGCGGATAAGATATCGCAAGATCGCATCCATCTTCATTCAAATACCACTTGCATAAATAATATTATCACAGAGCGCCTCCTTCGCTGGTTAGGGCACATTCTCCGTCGTCCACCACAGGAGTTGACGCATATTTCGTTATTTGCTTAACCGTGTGAGTTGGCGTCAAAAGTGAGGTGGTCCAATCAAGACCTGGACTGATATGGTGTTTTGAATGTATAGGTGGACCAGCAATATATGGAAAAAGGAATGGCTTCCATTACTGTCGACGATGACATCAGATCGCGCCGCGTGGAAGCATCTTATCCTGGTTGAAGCCAGCCTAACCAGTAAGGATGAGAGCTGTTAGAAGAAGAAGAAGAGAATTCAAATTTACATAACCTTTGAAATAGCAAAATAATTTGACGCACCTCAGTTTTATCGTTTGTCATTTAAAGTACCAAATTCTTATATATCAGCAAATTTATCATTCAAAATGGAAAGTTTTTACGTATATTTTAGTCAGTTTTCTATTTTCAAACAATTTTACTACCAAACAATTTTAGCTGAATAATTTTGTCGACTTTTTTATATTTAAAAATATAGCAGTTATGTCGTTCATGAAGTATTGAAACAGATTACAGCGATGTAAAAAGAGAGTTTTTCATCCTTTAACGGCATTCATGTAATTATTGATGAATGAAAAAAAGTCCGAGTAATGCCGAAAAATTCATGCAGTCAGTCGCGTTCCATTTTATTTCTTTCTGGAAAGTATTTCGCTTTTTTGATATTTTTGTTTTCTTTTTGAATTATTAAAAATGTTTTTTGTTTAATTGCAGATTTCTTAATTGTCAGATAATTTGATTAGACCATTATTAATGCCTCTTTCTTGTCGATTTTATGCGAATCAATTTCCCGATGTCGAAGACACCGTTATGGTGAATGTACGACAAATTGCTGAAATGGGCGCATATGTTTCTTTGCTTGAATATAACAATAAAGGTTATTATTTTTTAGTGGTGAGCTTTGAAAATTAATTGTGAACGATTTAATAAAAAATTCTCAAATAAAATTTTTTGCAGATTTTATAGCAAAAAAATTTTGGCTTTTATCAAGTTTTTTTCAAAATCATTCTTGAGAAAATTTTTTTAAAATTATTTGTAAATATTGTTTCATATTCGAATTATTTTCAGTCAATTTTTAGAGGGAATGATTTTGCTATCAGAATTATCAAGACGTCGTATACGATCAGTGAATAAACTTATTCGAGTGGGTAGAAGTGAATGCGTTGTCGTAATTCGAGTTGATGAAGACAAAGGATATATAGATTTGTCGAAACGAAGGGTTTATTCGAAGGATTTGATTCAGTGCGAGGATCGATTCGCCAAAGCAAAAGCAGTCAATAGGTGAATTTTTCAGAAACGTCTCAAAAAATTTTTCATTTTTGTTTTGTGCTCTTTGTTCTCTTAAAGGATTCTGTTAAAAGCAAAGGTTTTTTGAGCATATTGCGCCATGTTGCTGATCAATTGGATTATACTAAAGAAGAGGAATTAGAAAATTTATATGAAAAGACAGCATGGTATTTTGATAAAAAATTGAAAAAGAAAGCTGCTGCATATGATGTCTTCAAAAAAGCCATTAGGTATAAAAATTTTTTTCGTTTGTTAATTTAATTTGTTGCGCATTTAGTTTATAATTTATTTATGTGGTTAATTTGTTTTTTAAAGCTTTTCTTCTTTTTATTTTCAGTGATCCATCGGTCTTAGATGAATGCGATATAAATAACGAAATTCGTGAAAAGCTTCTGGAAGATATTCGGTATATGATTTATCTATCAATTCTTAAAAAAAGGAAAAGAGCTTTTTAAATTGTTTTTTTTTGATTTCAGTTCAAAGAACCATTTTATTACGACTTAAATTTGTCTTAAATTTTATATCCTATATTACTGCCATTTTATTTTCTCGTAAATTTTACTTTCCAGTAAAAGATTAACACCGCAAGCAGTAAAAATTCGAGCTGATATTGAAGTATCTTGTTTTGCTTATGATGGAATTGATGCAGTTAAAGATGCACTTATCAAAGGCCAGAAATGTTCGACAGAAGAAATGCCAATAAAAGTAGTTTTTAATTTTTCATTTATCATATTAATCTTTGAAATCGAAAAGGACTGCTTTTGATTTCACATTATCCATTTATGAAATATTTACTTCTTTCTCGTTTGGAATCTTATTTTTGATTCCACGATATTTTTTGTTTGAATAATTCATCGAATAAAAGTTTATTTATAATGTATAATCATTTCATTAAGATCAATTTGATTGCCGCTCCATTATTTGTTGTTACTACTCAAACTATGGAACGTGCTGATGGTCTTTACGCTGTTAATAAAGCTTTAGATATGATTAAAACTACCATTGAATCGTATCAAGGAATTTTCAAAATAGTTATGCCAGTGAGTTATCATTCCATGTGTTTTTTTCTCTTGATTTTTTGAATTTTTCTCTTTATTTTCCCCAAATCGTACTTTTATATTATCTAAAACATTTTCAGTTTGTATCCATTTTTATTTTAATTTTTGTTGTCGATGAAAGTTTTATTTTTTTTTTTTTTTGCAGCCTAAAGTAGTTACTGATTTGGATGAAGAAGATATCAAAAAACGAATGGAACTTATGGAATTAGAAGATGATATGAACAGTGAAATTGATGATGAAGAAGAAGGTAATCGTGGTGGCATTAATGATGACGGTGATGACGATGGATTGGTTGCTCCAAAGGGTCTGGATCAACAGGCAGATATGCAAGAAGTTAGTCACACAACTAATCAGACTGCCGAAGATTCTGATTAATAACACTAGTTAGCATCCATTTTATTATTCTGTGGGCTAAAATGTTTTTCTTTGTTATTTTTTTCGAACCTTATTTATTTGTGAGAAAAAAATCGAACTGGATCAGATTATTCTTTTCATTTTCTCTTTTCTTTTCTCTAAATGGTGCTTTTCTTCCTTTCTCTGCTCTTTCCTCCGAAAAAATGGCAATGATTTGATTATTTTAATTAAATTTTCCATTTGCTCATTTTTTAATACGAAGATCGGTTAATTTTAGTGAAATTTTTCATTGTTATATATTAGATGATTCAATTTTTTTTTTTTTTTATTTTAGTCGTTTACAGAATTTATTACTTATTAAATTTTGTTGTTTTATACGAAGATAGATGGGTTAATTTTCCTTATCAATTATGGGATCAGGGTTCACTTTTGGCAATGTAGTAATCCAGCACATATATCTGATGCGATGAGTGTAGGTATCAAGCTATTACGAGTGGAAATTTCAAAGCGTAGAGTTTCAAAGCGAATTTTTTTCATGAGAATTGGAAGAAAAATGATCTTATCAAGGTGCCCAGTGGTTTGGTGTTGGTCTTTTGGCTATGGAAGGTTTTTTTTCTGCATTGGCGATTCTTTCGTGTTTCTGTATTTCCATAATTCATTTCCAAAATTGGATTTAAATTGTTACAATTGTTAAATTGCTTTGGTTAAACATATGAAATCTAACCATTTGTATTATCGATTGATTATTGTATTAAGCAAATTTTGTCAAAATTTGCCTTTCTAAAAATCTATATTTCAAAATTGGCGTAAGCAAATTCGCAGGAAATAAAAATTTCGAAGTTGATGAGGGATGGCAGTCAAAAGTATTAAAGGAAGGGTCGAATTTTCTGCGTGATGAACTTTAATGCGGTCTGCCATTGCTGGGGTGATTGTCACCATTCGTTGGTTTCAATTGATTTTCATAATTTTAAAATTTTGTTGGTAAAAGATGAATAAATGATTGAGATTTATGGAGAAATGTAAAGCGTCGAAGTTTACTACAAAAAAATTGATCAAAGTTTGGTAATTTGCAAAGCGAATTTATCGTTGGATTGTTTTATTTTTGATTAAAGGATTAAAAAGATGAATTCTATGAAAATATTGGAAATTTTGAGAAGCTGGTTGAAGCTACGAGTTACTTTGAGATTATGGTGAGAGCCGTGGACAATTTTTCAGTTATAACGTATTTCACTCATTAAACCCTTGTTGACCTTTTGACTCTTCTCAGAAGCTTACACCAAATTATAATTTGTCGTTTGATTACTGCATCAGCTTTTTACATAATCCGTTGATAAGTGGTTAGCTCTCACTGATTAACGTTTCTGCGGGTGGTTGTTTAGAAAGAAATTGCGAGCAAGTGCCTAGTGCCACTTGAATTTGTTTATAAAAACTTTATTTCTGTAGGAACATTGACTTTTGAGGCCACCTGACTTCCTGCTCGTTAAGGAATATTAAGGAATGTTAATTATGTTAATATGTATCATGTAGCAGCTTGTTCTAGTTATATTGCATCGAAAAAAATTCTGATATCGGCTGGGAACTTATCCCAGTAGGGAAAGTTTTTCTGCTGGAAAAGTGCATTTAGTAGATACATGTAGGAAAAGTATATCAAAAACATAACAGTAATCACCAGATGTTTCCACTGGACATTTTTCGGCAGCTAGGAGTGGAAAAAGGAATGGCTTCGATAAGTCTTAGGCATGGCATTGAATCGGTAAACTTGGAAATATTTTGCTATAGTTGATGGTAAAGACAAACAACATAACATAGCAGGAGACGATTCTGTACAATTAGGAAATTTTTATAGTTATATATAACATATTTATTTTTCTCATTTAGGGATTAATTCTTCAACTCGTTTTTGTAGGATCTTGCCTGTTTGAGTTCAAAATATTCAAAGCATCAAAAGAATGAATTTTTTTTTCAGTAGGATGATGCAGAAGCATTAACAAATGGTAGTCAGAAAAATTAGGGCCTATAAGGTAGAGGTGAAGAGTAACCGACCAAACTGATTTAGTGTATTTTTTGCAGCATGAGATTTTGCGTTGTCATGTTGGAGGGTTACGCTTTTTCTGTTAGCTGTTGCGTGCAATTTCAATGAAACTTATCCTTGATTGAGTTCACAAACATCGGAAGTGATAGGTAAGCAGAGTATGAGCAGTTCATTATTAGTTATTCTCTTTATTTATCCACTCAATAGCACTTTTCAACTATGAATGTGAAGTTTAATTGTTGCTGATGTTTCTTCCTGCCATTTTTTTCAAAGGCATTCTCTATTATTGCTTGAACTCTCCCCACACCTTGTCAAATACACTAGAGAATTCCTTGACTATAGGCGGACAGGTAAGCCGCCAGCATCATTCCGTATTTCTGAATTACAGGTTTATTTCTGCAGGATATCTCAACATCGGTGTTCCAAGCTAAGCAAAAACCATTCTTTCTTGCATTTTGCTTTCGCTTTTTAGCGACGTTGCTAGAAGCGTGATGCGTTGTCTGGATTTGAATCTGAGCCTCGTTCCTCGGTGACAGTTATCTTGTTATTGAGCCTAACATTTATCGAAAAGCCCACTTCTTATTGCCTATGACATTTCTGTCCAAAAATCTTTTTTTTTTCATTCTAGAAAGATTCGGCAAAGCTCAGTATTCTTATTCCACATGGCTTGAAAAAGACGTACTCTTATAACTTATTTTTTTTTTAATAATCTATGTTTGTTTTGAATGTTGATTCGTCTGGAGTGTTAGAAAACCACCAACTTTTGAAGATTGTTGGAAACTTCGCTTATGTTATCTGTTGCTTTTGTTTTATTATTTACGTGAAATTCTTAAAGCATGCAATATTGCAATGTTGTAAATATTTTCCAAATAGTACTTCGTCCCATTACTAGACCATTTGGCAATTCGTCACTAAACCTAACTTAATGAATATCACACTACTCTGTGTTTCCCTTTTAGAGAAAATTTATGTCAGAAAAACAAGTGAATAGGCCTAATGGAATACTGTAATAACTAACATAAATTCTTTTAAGGGTGAGAATCATTTTATTTTGAAATATATTGTTTGTTGCTAATTATTCGCAATTTTACTAGTTGATTCTTATTTTTTTCACAGAAAATCGTTTAATGTGCTAAAAAAATTTTTTAATTGATTATAAATTTTCTGATATCTTTTAGCTATAAAAAAAATGCGAAATGCAAAAGTAGCACAGAGGGAAAAAATTTTGCGACGTGGTCGAACATCAAATTTGGAATTATTACTTTCGATGCGCGGTAAAGGACATAAATTTACTCATAAGAAAGGTATATTTTTTGGAATTTTCTTCGCTGAAATCCTTTAAATTCGTTTGTTTGTTTAAAGTGTGGTGTAATTATGTAAGGTGAAGATATAATGTGGATTTGTAATTAGATTAGTGATATATTATTATATTACGCTAATGGATAAACTAGAAAACTAGAAAACTAAACTAGAAAAATTTCTATATTATTTTACATCGGATGATGAGAACTTTTATTTCAAATATGAAATTTTGAAATTTATGCCAAGCATTTCGCTTCTTTATGTTAAGATATTATAAATTAACTCATTCATTCATATTTATATCAGTTTATTTGCTTACTAAAAGTTTAAAATTTTTTAAATTACAGAAATTTGTGTTCATTCGATAAAAAATATGAATAGAATTTTTGTTATTCAGGTTTAAGAAATAACACTACAATCAATTACGGTCATGTAGAGGAGAATTTAAAGTCATTTGATTCACAGATAAGTTCAATTAAGAATCATAAGAAAAAATCTTTTATAAATGGTAAATTTTTTATATTACGCATATTTACTTCATGTTGTTCAAAATTTTTTTGCTTTGATTGCCCAAATTATTTTCTTTTTTAGAATATTATAATGAAATGCTTGATGAAGAAATACGATTAAAGAAAAAAAAGTTATTCTATGTCACAAGTGGTTAGTTTTATTTCTTCTTTCTCGCTTAATGTTGTTTGTATTATTGTTTGTATCAATTCAGGTGATCAACCGACTGAACTTTATAGAACTGATTTTTTAAACAGAATGAAACAAGAGCAAAACAGTGATTCGTCATCAGATGAAGATGACAATTTTGTTCCAATAAGTGATCGATGGAAAGAAGATTGGAATTATGGTGTACAGGTTGTTGATAATTTTTGTATTTGATATTTCTTGCACTATTTATTATTGCTGGCATTATAAGAGTAATAATAGCAGTTTGCTACAGCCTACGGTTTCAGTTTACAACTGTATCTTTTTCAATTTTTCGGCGCATTATAGGCTTTGGTGTAATGACTAAGAAATGTGGATCAGAAGATTAAAGTAAATCCTTATTGTTTTCTCCTTTAAATTCAGTTTGGAAGTTTTCGGATTCCTTTTCCTCCCTTATACTTCAGAAATGCATAAATTTCATAAGAAGAATTCAACCTATGTTTTTCTAATAATTAAAATAGTGATAGAATAGCAAAAGTGAAACCTTAACGTCCATGAGGCTTTAGATTCGTTAATAGGTGACAAAACTTGTTGCTAGAATTTTTTGACTTTTAAAGTGGGGGAAGTCGAGAATTTTTTTGAGATATTTTGATAAATTTTTTGTGCATTTATCTTCGGTAAGATGAATAGCTTAGCCTATGGCTTTCTTTTTTTATTTGTCAAGATTGTTTAGTTGTTTTGCCACTATAGTTGTTGTTGGAAAATAGTTAGAGTATTGTTGTTGAGTATTGTTATTGAGTATTGAGTAAATAGTTAGAGTAAAATAGTTAGAGTATCCTTGAGTATTGTTTCATTTTATCGATTGCCATTCGCCAAATATAGAGTTTCTTCACCGTTATTTTTTTTGTTTATTTTTGATTTCATTTTAAATTTCGAGTTGAGAAGTTTCTTTTGGACTTTTAATTTCTTTTCTCGTAAATTTATTTTTTTACAAATTATTTTTCATTACCTAATTTTTCATTTTGAATTATTTTTGAATTATTTTTTCAACTCTCTTAATTTAGGTTCCATTGCACAAGAAATTACCTGAGTTTGTCATCAGTGATATACCATGCAGCTCCTCTTCCAAATCAAGTCGCTCTTCGTTTGAAATGTAAAAATTTTTTGCAAATATTTAAATTTTGAGTTTATGCGATATTTTAAATAAATTTATTTTATTAATATTAATAAATATTTTATTAATATTAATATTAATAAAAATTTTAACAATTTTTTTCTGGTAATAATAACGATCTTGAGGGTGAGAAATCAATTTTTCTAACGCGTATTATTTTTGTGCTTTGGTTAGATTAACATATCTTCTCAAAAAATCTAGTTGAAATTGAAATAAAGATGGAGTCGCTAGCATCACCAATATTTCATATTGCTGTTATTGTGAAGAGGCAAGGTCGAAATATTGATCCTTCACCTCATGTTTTAGGGCAGATAAATTGATATCTGTATATGGGCGGAAATATATTGCTGATCGCCATAAAAGAATAAAGGTGCCTAGATTTTTTTACTACCAAGGTGATGCGATGGACCTTGTTTTCCTTAAAAAATTGAATGAAAAGCGAAGAAATATCGGATTTCCAATAATCGCTGAAGTGGATTATTTTAAAATTCTCAATGAATTTGAAGTATCTTGCTACAAGGTTTTATTCAGAAGTTTTTTAATTGTTTATTTATTTTTTTATTATTATTGTTTAATTGTTTTAAATTTGTTTTTTCTTTTACTTTAGCGATTTTTCAAAGCAATTTATATATGGGAAATATATGCAATTTAAAAATCGTTCTTTTTATTTGTGCTTATCTATGTTTAGGCGATTCATTATGACCTTTTGATTCCTCTAATGTCTCCAGCGAATAATGCTTCCATGAATGTCGAATTTGATGAAGATACTTGTTGTGACATCTGCAGACAGGTATATCATTTTCAAAATTACTTTATCGCAGTTTTGGTGATATTGGATTTATATTGGATGGAACATTGGTACTAAATTTTATTTACTAAATGAAAAATAATATATTTTTTTTAAAATTGGGATCGACCTTAGCGATTGATGAAATTTTTTCAGCCAGATTATGAAGAAGACGATAAAATTATTTTTTGTGATGGATGTGATGTTGGTGTTCATCAATCTTGCTATGGTTTGGATATAGTTCCTTCTGATGAATGGCTTTGCAAGGCTTGTACAAGTCTTGGTTGTCAGGTAAAATTCTTGGTATTGCTTTTCCCAAAGTATTTGTGATCAGATATTTCTTAAATTTAAATTGATTTTAAGTTGATTTAAATTTAAATTTAAGTTTAATTTTTAGCTATATGTTTATGAATCTATATTTTTAGACATTACCCCATTGCATTTTATGTCCTGTGAGAGGAGGAGCAATGAAATGCACGGCTGATGGCGATTCATGGGCACATGTTGTATGCGCTTTATGGGTTCCTGAAGTACGATTTGTGGATACAGATCACCGTGAACCGATATCCAATATTTCTGATATACCAAATGAACGATGGACGTTGAGGTATTTTTTCCTAAGAGTGCTCACCACTTCTTCCCGCAGGTTCAGACTAGATAAATTTTACCAGGGCGTCACTTTTGCGACAGAAATACAGGTATCACCAGGTCACTGATTATTATTAAAGGTTTAATTTTTTTGGCAAAATTTCAGTATGAGTATATTTATTTAAAATTGCTATTTTTAAGATGTTCGGTGTGCGACACAAAACAAGGTGCTTGTATTCAGTGTTCAGTGCATGCATGTATTAATGCTTTTCACGTTTGTTGTGCCTTTCGTAATAGTCAGGTTAGATTACTACTTGCTTATTATTCATTATGGTTCTTATGTAAGCGCAAAGGTAGGGTCCAATTTTTACCAAATATCTTTTGGAGGAATCTGTCTTAATTTAATTTTGTAGGTAATGGCAATCGAATGTTCAAATGGTGAAGGATGCCAAGTTCATATGATAAGCTTATGTAAAAAACACTCAGAGGAACTGAATTACTTTCGTAATGGATATAATGAAGGAATGTTGGAAAGGTGTATATCACCAGTTACAATTCAGTGCATTCGGGTATTAATTTTTATGTTTTGTAATATTTTATTTCCACATATTTTCATTAAAAAATTTTTAAAGAGGATATAAAAGTAGAAAATAATGAAAAAACCAGGATTCAAAAATTTTACAAAATTTTCTAGGATGGAAGATTAAAGGAAATGGAGAATTTTTTTTTTTTATTCGTCTCTCCTGAGGAAATCGCTCAAAAGCTTGGTATCGCTGAAGAAGTTATTGATGATATTTATGAATACTGGAAGCTTAAACGATCAGAAAAGGATAATAGGCCATTATTAGCATGTAGCTGTGAAATTGAGCGAAATATTACAAATGATCTCCACTGTCAAACGCCATCTTCAGTTTTAGCTTTGAAATTGAGAAACGAAATGGTTCTACGACAAAATCTTGAGCAGGTTTAAAGATTTTGAAATTTTTTGAAATTGTACTTATAATAATTTCATATGCGAGTTATATTTTTCGGTATAATATGTTGATTATTTTAGGCTCGAAACCTGTGCTATATGATTAGAAAACGTGAAAAACTCAAAAAGTCCTATTTTTCTCATTTGGTTCAGACCTACTCATACGTTTACAAACAGCTATCGAGTTCCCCTGTACCTCTCAGTAACCGAGCACTGAATCGCTTTTGCGAGGCTTTGAAAACTATGATAAATTTTAACACTGATTGTTGTGATCTCAACTATCAAATTCTTTTAAATAATAAATCAACAAAAGCATCGAAATGCATCCAAAATATAATTCGTGAACGAAACGGTCCAGAGCATACAAGACGGAATGGCATTGAGCGGAATGGTTTTATGAAATCTATCTATCAAGATAATTATGCAGTTTTGGGACGTGGTGTATCTAAGATTTCATTTTCTTAGGCTAAGGCAAAGCGCTTCTTGATCCATTGAGATTTTTTGGAGCAGTTCTTAATGCTACGTTGGTAAATCTAGAAGAATAATAAAGTGAGTGATTAACCATGTATATATATCTGTATTATATATATGTTTCATTCAATTCAATGAATGTTTTATCTTGCGGGTTTTTTGTGGCTTATTTTTGTTCTATAAGGCAAATTTTTATTATATGGAAATTTAAACTTTTTTTATGTACATAATTTGTTTGTTTAAGTAAATCTGTTTTATTTGTTTTAATGTTTTGGGTAATTATAAAATAATTTTTATTTTAATGTTTTTTTTTTTGTATGAATGGAGAAACGCGTTTCCTAATGGCTGTAACCGTCTCATATCGAGATATTTCAGTTTTTTTAAGTAAATAGTATAAATACAAGTGGATTTCTTATCAAAAGGACTAAGTAGAAAAAAGAAAAACCGAAGTAAAATCTGAATTCGATTGCGTAAATCTTATTATAATTAGTGCATGCATTTGCCTTTCGTATGCATCTATTTTTATTTTTTAAATTAGCTTTTTGTCGTGAATAATTCATAATCTAGATTTTAAAAGCAAATTGGGCGAAGTAGCTTTTGTTTAATGGTAGGTTTATTGCCATATTTCTTTAATTCAGTATTCAGAATTTTATCAACAATGTCTTACATTCCTTTTTCTTTTATGTTAAATTTAGCTGAAACGAATTTCTGCAGCTAGAAATGCGTTTTTCCGGTTGACGAAACCTTTGTGGGGCAGTCATGAAATCACCATAGAAATGAAACATCGCGTCTATATAGATGCGGTTCATTTGATTTTGCTATATGGCTGTGAGGCATGGCTAACGAGAGTGGAGGATCAAGAAATCATCTGCTTTTGATCAGCCATGTCTAAGATATATTTTACGGTTATATGCTATTTTACGGGTTCATCAAGCCGATAAAGTAGCACATGGTTACATCCACCTTCTGTCAAATATCACCTATATTATCACAGGTCGCTGGTTAGTGGTATATCCTTCGTCGTCTACTATGAGAGTCGACGCATATTTGGTTATTTGCTAAACCCTGTGATGGATGGCATCGAAAACAAAGTAGGCCAATTAACATCTAGATTGATACAATCAGAAAAGATTTTGTTTCTATAGGCCAACAATATATGGACTCAGACGAGAGAAAAGCGGATGGCTTTCATTACTGTCGACGATTGCTCCAGACCTCGCCGCTTGTAAATGACTTGTAACCAGTGGAGGTAGCCCACAGTAATTGTAAAAGCTGTTAGGAGAACATTAAATATTAAATTTAGCAACAGAGGAAGCGGTTTCATAATTCCTCATCAGTTTTGTAGATTGTAGTTTATACATGTTTTTTTCCTCCATAATTTTCTAATCTGCCGTTCTATGATATTTTAAGTCTTATGACTTCGAAATTTTTCTGAAACGTCTCCGGTTTGGTTGCTTTCGTTGACTGCTTGGATGAAAACGCTCCGCTAGGGAATACTTCGAGGTGAAAGTGCCGGCAACCAAGTCATCCTTTTTTAGACACTTGGAAAACCTAGAAGGCTGCATGACACGACTCTGTAACGTACTGCAACATTGGTCACTTTTTTCTTTCAGAATGTATAAATTTAGGCTAAAACCAATCCATATTTCAGCATTTATCTATGGTTTCATCCTTTCAAGAATTTAGAAATTTCAAAATTTCATTAAAGACTAGAATTTTATTGCACCTAGTTACTATGCAATCAAAAACAAAAAAACATTTCCTTCACAACCACAATGAATGATATATACAAGTGGAAACAAATAAAAAATTATTTTTCGATCAATGAAAGTTGGAGGACTCTTTCAAGTTCTTCGTCCTGTTCCAGCTGATTTCGACGTCTTTGTTCACATTCTTCTTCAGATAATCGTAAGACGCGATTAAATTCATCATCCTTAATAAAAATGAAATTTGATTTCTTCAAAGAATGAAACTTTTGAAGCTGAATACTCAAACCAAATGAGGGTAGTGTAATGATTAAATGATAAAAATTACCGGAAATTCAGGGGAAAGGCTGACACCAGATCGAGATAACTCCAATCTTAAGCATCTGATGCTTTCTTCAATTGCTAATGCTAAATCTCTATCATATGCTGAACCAATACTTGACATGTCGTCCCTATTTTCCACAGTAAAATCATTCCAAGTAGCTTCTCTTAGGCTTTGTTCCAGAGCAAATTGTAAATATAGTTCATCTTCTGGTATTTCTAGAAATTGCAGTGATAGATGAAATTATGAGATTTACATTACTTCACGACAAAACTCATTTTAGGAACTAATAAAATTAATCTTTTACCTCTTAAGTAAATAATAAGTGATAAAAGGACGCCTAATTTTCAACTCAGAAAATCATTTTAAATCAATTGAAATATATATTCAAAATTCGTTCAGATCTTAACTATTTATGATGGACAATTAAAAACAAATTCAGAAGCAATACGTCGCCTTGCAATCTGTCCACTGGGGTTTGCGAATTTCGTTGCCAAACACGAACTATACATGGAAAAATCATCTCCAACAGATATATGGTAATCTGACGGAATTTCAAAGGCTTTTCCATCAATTGTTACCTAGAAATTTTCAAATCTTTGGAACTCAAGTGAGATAATTTGTTTAGATTTATAAGCATATTATCCTCAGAGCCTTAAAAATTTCCTACTTAGCTCTAAGCAAACGATACAAATGATAAAATTTGTTTAATGAATAAAATACGACTTACACGTTTCATTTCTTGATGGATCAATTTTTTATATTCTACTTCTTATATTTTAATTTTTAAATATTTTATATTTCAGCGCAACATTAATGAAGCTTTCGCTAAATTATATTTTATATTTTTTTTAAGAGTTCTCACCATTACAGGGTTAAACTCGTTCCGCTGGCTTGTCGCACTGGACAAATGTGCCAGAGAGTCCCTTATTTATATTTCACTATACAGAATTATCTAAAAAATTTCCAAAAATAGGAATAATTACTTGATCATTAATAAAAGGTGAAACAAATGTTCCCAGTTTATTAACGTTTGCAAATGTTATCCGCGCGCTAACTACATGGAATAAAGGAATTTCGACTTTTACGGGAAAACCGGCGGGCAACTGTAATTGAATAAAATTCTTCAAGCGTACAAAGTGTGCGTTATTGACAGACATTAAATCAATAATTGGCATAACTTGTTCCTGAAATTTTGAAATCAACAATAATACCTTACAAACACCAATTCAATTTTCTAAAAATGATTTCATTATGATGCGCACCTGCAAATCTAAAGGATATTGATCACAAAGCCAAACTGTAGCACGAAAAGAATTTGATTTTTTATATACCTAAAATTTCATTGTGAAATTTGTGAAAAATATGGGAAAAATATAATATTAATATGGGCAAAAAAATGGGAAAACGAAAACTTTGCAACCTTTACATCCATAGCAAAAAACTGCTCTAATTTCCCCATTCCAGTTTGTAAAGGAAATTCAGGAAATTTAAATTGCAACCACATGAATCTGCACCTGCTTAGGCTTACCGATATCGCAACCATCCATATTATATTCTTTATCCAAATATTGCAACGATGTTAGACCGCAGTAAACATCACTACCAGTACGTTTCATTTCATCAGTACATTCTTGTCGATTTTCCACTAGTTTTAAAACAGCCATTAAAGCACTGCTATTTTCCTCCTGTTTGTACCTAAATTTAAAATTATCACATATTAGCATGAACAAATGAAAAAAACAAAAAAAACTTAAAAACCTCTCTTTATCTTGTTCTGATAAGTGTTCCACACGTGTTTTCGTGATTAATTCAACGTTGCTCGCATTAAAGACCTTAAATTCTCGAGAAAAATAGAAAATATTGTTTTTCAATCCACAGTTTTCCAAGGAAAGAAACTTTCAATAGTTGCTTTATTACTGCGTTCTTCATCACAGTTTTCATTTCATTATTAATTCCTTTGACCTCCAATTTGAGAATAAAAATAAGAATTTCACAGTGATTACTCCCTTTTTTTAGTTCTTTTCGAATTTAATAATAAATAAACACCAAAAACTAACCTTACACTCATACCCATTAATCGTTTCGGTTAGATTAGATGATGTTAACCAAGAGAAAAACCCATTCGTACGAATTCGTTCGAAACTAAATCTAGTTTTTTCACATGAAGCAGCAAATGAGAAAAAAAAGCAATAGCACTCCAATAAAGAAAAAAATGTAATAAAAACTTCTTTAAAAAATTAAAGTATAAAAAAAGAAAATATTATTGATAAGTTGGCTAAAAAAATGAAAAAAAAGCTAACCCAATTTTATCCACATCAACGTATGTAACTTCAACGGGCGAAGACAAACGTGAGCAGATATTAGCATATGATGGCTCATAATCAGCTATGTTGTCACTGGTGACCATCAACTGAATCATTGCCTGAAAAATTTTAAATTATTCAAATTAATATAAGCAAATAAGCAAATATTTTTATTTAGCTGATGAATTTTTTATTAATAGATCTTTAAAAAAATTCAGATTCACTGCAGAATCACTTGACTAAAATTATGACATAATACATTCATTGTTCAATTATGTCAAAGAGAAACCGTTTTTGAAGTATGATCGATAATAATAATTTCTGGCTGGTTATTATCAGTAACACGAAACATAAATGTTTGATTTCCACGTTTCCAATTAGATGAAGAATCAAAACCAACTAAAGTTGTATCGATTCGAACATCAGATCCTCTTTTATAAATCTATAATGCTTTCAGAAATAAAAAACGGTAAATTTGCAAAGTGAACTTAAAAAACCTTATAACCTTATATGTATCTGATGGGCACATTTTACTGACTAATGGTAACCAACTGGTGAATTCCCAACTCATTTCAGCATAAAAATCATCGGTTTCCTGAAATTTTACTTTCATCCGAATTTATTTAGAATTCTTCTTCGCAATTTATTCTATCAACCATGTAATTTACGACTGATTTATGGCCACTTGCGATTTCTAAAATTTAGTTAGAAAAATCTTTAAAAAATTCTTCAAAATTGAAAATAAAAATTTAAAAACTATCAGTGCCATTATCTTTTAGTAATCCATGTATGAATCCATGAATTTTAAGTAATTTACTTGTTAAATTCATTGAAAAAGAAATAAAATTCGTTAGCAATTAATCATGCTAAATGGCTCACTGGATTAAAATAAAACATAGCAAAAATTTGCACCTTGAGCAAGTTTAATAATCGTTCCATAGCTAAATTTCTTTTCAGAGCACGTTGATAATCTCGATATTTTAATATTAATTGCAAAAAATCATGATTACCCAAACATATAGCTTCCTGGCTAACTGACCAAAAATCTGAAAAATATTTGGTATTTTTAATTTGTTTAATATAACATAAAAAAAACTAAAATAACGAAGTGTACATTAGTAAATTTCTAGTAAATGAACCTGCACTTTGCAAAGTAGCATCCGCACCTCTCTCTAATAAAATACGAGCACATTCCAAATGACCAACTGTAACAGCCAACATCAGCGGTGTTCGACCTGAATTTTTTTATATTAAAACCTGATGTAATTAAAAATGTTCAATTAAAATATTGCTCAATCATTGTGTCTGCAATATAAAAGTTTTCATTAGATCAGATGTTAAAAAACTTATCTCTAACATCCAATTTATTTAAGACTTCAGATTCAGATTTTTCTTCTAATAAACGTGATAAATCTTGAAAATCGTTCCGAAAAACTGCCCAGTGTAGCGGATATTCACTTCGTATAATTTCTTCTTTAGAAATCATATTTAAATGAATTGATTCCCTGAAATTTAAGAAAAAATATATTCCTCCAATTTATTTGGTACTTTTTCCTTTCTTTTTTCCTCCAATTTTCCTCTTTCTTACTTTCATTCTCTTATAGTCCCATGATCCTTTTCCATTTTTATATTCTTCTCCTTATTTATACTGTCTTCTCAACCAAATCGATTCCAGAAAAGTCAGTTAATGTCAACGAAAGAAAATGAAAATAATAAAAAGTAATGAAATCGATTAAAATTAAGATATTTATTTTAAATAAAATATAAATCAATTCTGGCAACCAGAAAGTTTGAGCGAATTTCCTCCAACAGACGATTTAAAAATTTACCGATAAAAGTTTTTTTAATTTTAGGTAAATAAAAAAACGCCAAAAATACGACAAATTTGTAGAAAAGAATTTTTTTCACATTCAAGTCGGAAAAATGCGAAAATTCATTAAACTTTCAATAAATTTGAAAAGTAATACGTTATAATTATTTCAAAAATAAAAACTGTAGAATTGAGACGCACTTTAAATTAGAAATAAAAAATACTTGCGAAATATCACCACACATACAAAATAATTATTTGAAATTAAAACAGACAAGCTGGCAGAAAAAAGACTTAGTGAAAAACTGAAATTTCAATTTCTTTTCTTTTTTTCGCAAATGATTAAACTATACTCTAGGAATGCCTATTATTCCATTTCTCCCAGGGAGACCAAATTTGAAGTATACGACCAATTCTAAAAGAAGTGTTTCATTGTTGACATTTACGGCCATACTCTACTAACTAGCATTTTCACTAAGAAAAATAAAAATTTTCTCCATATGATATAGATTTAAGAGTGGGAAGTAATATATTGAGAATACTTAGGACAGGACAGCTCAGTGGATTCCTGCACAATTCGGAGAGCCAATATTGAGGTTCTATTCGCCTATCCAAAAATGCGGGTGATGGTAGCAACTCACCCGTACTTCTATCGCCAGGACCCCTGGCATATTTGTCCAATGCGACAAGCCAGCGGAGCGATTTTAACCAGTAAAGAAAAAAAGGACTCAACGCAAAAGAGTTGAATGGTGGGATTTCAGTTAAATCTTTGAAAAACACTGAAAATCCTCGGTTTATGATGTCCCCACTCACTCCCTCGATGATCAGAAACAGAGCGAGGATTACCAAAAAGTGCCGTTAAGAAGTTTCCAGAAATGCTGGAACTCAGAAGTGAAGCCACTTTTTGAAATTTAGTTTTCACATCAATCTCCATTCATGAATTTTCCAATTTCGATGAGAAGACTGAGTCAGCTGCCTGTGGCGAATAAACGCAAAATTCTGAAACTATTTTGAGCTCAGATGTTGGAGCGAACAGCATGAATAATCGCTAATTCTAAGATCCGACTCGTCTCGACTTTCACTAGAAGTTTGATGCTATCACTCGAGCAAAACCCAAAATGTTTCGCTGAAATGATTCGTTTTGAAAGTCGCCTCGGAGAAGGACTGAGTGCTCAAGAAGACCACCGATCGCCGATCGCTTGTCTGAGTCATCAACTCGAAAGAAAGCCACGCGACAGAAACAGTTGTAAGCATAAATCTGTTAACTTTTGTCTTCACCGGATCACTCAGTGAGAGACATGAAAATTCATGCAATAAATTTGCAGGAAGCAAAGAAAAAATTTTCTGCAGAAATGAAAATTCGCGACCGCAATGGCATCAAAAACTGTACCAGAATTGAGGCACGAAAAAACAAACGAAAAAAATTTCAAAAAGATAAATTTCAAAATAAATTGGCAACGAGCCAAAAATAGAGCTACTTGTTTTGATTCCCTTAATTCTTTTTAAGACCACAAAAATTGATTAATGGAAAAAGTCGATAATCATTTGATATTAGGTTAGAGTTGCCAGACGTTAAATTTCTCCCTTCCCCTGATTCTCTATCGAGTCATCTTCATTTCGCGTCCTATTCTCCTCCTCTCTAGCCTTCTATCATTCTTTCCATCTTCTGTCCAATTGTCTTCGTTTCACGTGCTATTTCTTATTTCTCTTATTTCTTCGCTCCTTAGAATTATTATTTGTTTTTTTGAAATAATTTCGCTATTTTCTATTAATAGAGTTCATTTGCTAAATTAATTTGATTTATTCAGATTTGTGAATGAATTTGTAAAATAAAGGAACATTCGAAAAGCAAGGAATATGGTTTTAATTCGCTTTAATTTGATAATTAATTCTGAATTTTTTGAATTTAAATAAACTCTTTTCAATTTCCTTTGTAAAATTTACGAAAATTCTATTTAGAATTTGGAAATAAACGATTTTTTACTTTTTATTTCACTTTTAATTTACTTGAAATAATTAATTAATAATTATTTATTAATTATATATTATTTATAATATTTATTTAATGCAAATCGCAGAAACATTTTTTATTTATTTTTGCATATTTGCTTCATTTATTGTCTGTTATTATTGCTATTGTTATTGTCATTATTATTATTATCATTACTGATATTATTATTGTTATTGTTATTGTCATTATTATTATTATCATTACTGATATTATTATTGTTATTGTTATTGTCATTATTATTATTATCATTACTGATATTATTATTGCTATTGTTATTGTCATTATTATTACTATCATTACTGATATTATTATTGTTATTGTTATTGTCATTATTATTATTATCATTACTGATATTATTATTGTTATTATTATTATCATTACTGATATTATTATTGTTATTGTTATTATTATTATTATTAAGATTATCAAGATTATTGCTGTTTTTGTTGCTTAATTGTTTTCTTTTTAGTAAATATTCATTTATTATCTTTATTTATTATTCTTATTATATTGTTGTCATTATTGTTATTTGCGTCTTCCTTCTATTATTTTCATATTTTCATATTATTTTTGTTATTTTTTATTATTTTGATAAAGTAATTCTCAGCAATTTCCATTTCTTATTGTTTATTTTATTTTTTATTATTTTCTTTTCGGCATTTATTATCCCATATTATCTTATTTTCTTATTTATATAAGTTGTGTTATAGGTTACTTTCTAGCATTTTTATTATTTCTATTATTATTTATTGTTTATACTAATTATTATTACCATTTATTATTCGCTAATTATTCATTTATTATGGTTTGTTATTGGTTTATATTAGTTTGTGGTTTATTCGTTCCTGTCGATCGTTCGTTTGGAAGATTGGGCCTTATTTTTTGATATAATTTATCACTGCTATCACTATTTAATGCCCTTTTTTGTATTGCTATTTGTTACATTTTATTAAAACCTATGTTATCCATTTTTTTACTCTTTGTTTTACTATTTTTACTGTTTATTGTCATTCATAATTGTTTTTTTAATTAACAATAACATTAATAACAATAATAATAAAATCTTTAGCTACCCGTCGCTTTTCATAATCACTGATTTTTTGTTTTTTTCTTATTTCCGTCTTTTTTCGTTAATGTTCGCGTCTGACACGTACTCTTTCTTGCGCACAGCGAATACGTATCTTTCGTTCTATGTACCTCTCATAAAGATATATGATCACTCTACTAATTGTATAATTCTCTAAGTGTGCAGAGGAATATTGATTTGTTGGAATAATCATTATCTCGACCATCTCTCTTCATTTCCTCTCGTCCCTCTTCACTTTTACTTATATTCGCGCCTTTTTATTACTATTTTTTAAAATAATATTTTATATTTTTCATTATTTTGATTTCCATAAAGTAATCCATAAATGATCCAAATATTGTAATATCTTTTTGAACAAATTTGTGTAACAAAATAAAATAATTTAAGCATTTTTTGTATTAATAAATTAGGTTTATTTTGTGATTTTAAAGTTTTTACGTTTAATAATATTTAGTTAATTGTTTAATATTGCTTTATATTTTAACTTCATTTTAATTTTTTGGCGTTTTTAATTGATTTTCATTTGAAGCTTATTTGCGGTTTGTTAAGCGGCATTTTCGCTTGTGTTGAATTTAGTTGAAATTTAGTTGATCTGTTTAAAAAACTTGTTGAATGCATGTTGGTTAATTTTTTTATGATTATAATTTTCTAACTGTAATTGTAATTTAATTATAATTTTTTAATATGTTCCATATTCCATTTAAAAAAATTCTGTTTGGAATTTTTCTTCTTTAAGAGTTTTTTGCATTGTTTTATTTCGTTTTATGATATTATAAATTTCACTCGAGCGAACGATATTTTTCGACGATGTCGATTTTCCTTTTATTCTTAGTTTTATTTTGTGGTATTTTTAAACTTGCCGAATTTAAAGCCATTATTTTATTTATAATTATTTTTTAAACAAATTAGGGAAAAAAAGAATAATGCGTGAATCAGCAAAAGCACCAGTTCGTGGTAAAACGTCACCTTATGGATTTTTTGTTAAAATGTGTTATGAGGAACATAAAAAGAAATACCCAAATGAAAATGTTCAAGTACCCGAAATAAGCCGAAAATGTTCAGAAAAATGGAAGGTTAAATTCACTTCACTTATAAATAGTAATCATTGCTTTTTTAGAGATTTTACCAGACTAATTAAGGAAGGAAAGAATTGTTAATTTATCGAATTTCTTGCCTTTTTTTCGATTAAGTTTCAATATTTCTTTCAAATTAATTTCAATATTTCTTTCAATATTTGTTACAGTTAATTGAAATCTTATCTGTAGACAATGTCGGACGATGAAAAACGAAGATTTTTTGAATTGGCGCAAAAAGATGCAGAACGTTATCAAGCAGAAGTCGCTGCATATGGTGGTGAAGACGCAATACGTAAACGTAAACGAGTTAAGAAGGATCCAAATGCACCAAAAAGAGCTTTGTAAATTTTCAGTCAAAAATTTAACTTTTCAGATATGATTTTTTTTTGAAAGAATTGACGATGATTTTAGGTCTGCTTTCTTTTTCTTTTCACAAGAAAAACGACCAGAAGTTCAGCAAGAACATCGGGATTGGAAGGTTGGGCAAGTAGCTCAAGAGCTTGGACGATACTGGAAATCATTAAGTGAAGAGGAGCGTGCTATATATGAACGTAAAGCGCAAGAAGATAAAGAAAGATACGCAGAAGTTTGCTTTTTTTTTAAAAGGTTTTTCATTTTATATCTATATTTTATAGTCAGTGCAATTCAGGAAATGCGCAATTATAAAGGTGGCGCAAAAATCGTAACTACTGAAGGAATAATAAATAATGGTATGATGGGAATGGCTGGTCATGAAGACGTAGTCGAAGAGGATGAAGTAGACGATGAAGTGAAAATGCGCCTTTAATTAATAAAATAAAGAGATGGATAAAGATATTGGCGATGGTTATGCATTTTATGAATTTTATGGCTTATATTAATATTCCTCATCATTTTAATCTATTTGCCTTGTGCTTTTTTAGCTCTGGAATTATTTTTTCGGCACATCAGTTACCAATATCTCTGGAAAACATTAAATTGATAAAAAATGGATGTCTCTTTATTCATTTTAAAATCTTTGATAAATTTGGTTATGTTCATATGAATAAAGGAAAAAGCCAGCTGGCTGGCATGATACCTTTTATTACCTAAAATAACCTATTTCGCCCATTTATCTTTTCACTGCAATCAGTTAATGTGTTTATGCTTATCTTTCGTTATTCTTTCATTCATCTTTTTTTCTTTATAATTTTTTCCGATTTCCTTTATTTGTTTTTTTAAATAATTATTTTATGGAAAAATGATTGAATGTTTGCAGATTTCCAACTAAACTTTTCAATTACTAATTTTCATTTTTGGTTTTGAATATTATTCTCGAAAATTTCACATGCATCGTTATCGTAATTATAATTTTTGAATAACTGACATTAAATGTGTTGCTGAAAATTGCCCTCTTCGTTCTCTGAAATCCGTGGTAGCACTTTTTTGGTTTTGAATATTATTCTAAAAACTTTCATATTAGTTTTGATTTGGCGTAGTGTTATTCATTCCATAGTTTTGTCCTTTTTTCACCATTTTTTTATATAAGATACATTTTATAAATTTGCATTTTATGCAACACAGATTTTTGTCATTCATTTTTGTAAATTTTTCGTTATTAATGTTTCAATACGTGGTATTACGATGCATTGGTTTTGTGTTTCTTTTCGTTTATATAATGATAACTACAATGATTTGACGAGATCTTTTCATTCGAAATTTGTGAAAATGCTTTGCAAGCCAGTGGATTTAATTTTTCTGCTTACGCAAATTATTAATATAATAGTAGCAAAGAGGAAAATTATGAAATTTTCATTAATGTTTTATTTTATTTTATTATTATTTTTATTATTACAAATTAAATCAACCACTCGTAATAGTGGAGTTTTTTAAAATTTTGGTTGCATATTGACGAATAAAAAATCTATTGTCATAAACATTTTTTTGCTTTTTGTAACTAAATTGTTTATGAAAATCTCACAAATTTTTCTTTGAATTTTAGATTTAATATGCGAAATAACAACAATAAAAGCTTTTTCGGTTTTTGACTCTTTCAATCGTTCTTTTGAGTATCAAAATCGGAATAAACGACATATGAAAGAACGACGACAACACGGAACATTTGTGTTTCGCTACATTGAAAGAATGGTACAGCATTGCCTGTTTTGCTCGTCTGTGGTATATGCGCTACCTTAGCAGTGAAAGCTCTCAGCGGTCTTGCGAATTTTGACGTGCTTGCAAGCAGTTAAGCAGTTAATCAGCGTCATTGGCTTTTTTCGTTTTTTTGTTCATTTTCCACAAATTTTTCACCCGGAAGAAGGATTTCATGTCGTTCGAAGTGGGGAAGTTCGAGGTTTTTTTTAAAGAGTCCTCACCATTACTGGTTAAACCGACCCCACTGGCTTGTTGCATTGAGCAATATGCCAGGAAGTCCCTTGGCGATAGAAATGCAGGCGAGTCGCCAGCATCACTCGGATTTTTGTACAGGTTTCTCCTGCGGAGGATCGCACCTCAGCAGGAAGTTCGAGATCTCTATAATGAACCAAAACAATAGAAAGTTGAAATTTAAGTTTCTCATTGGTTTTCCTTATTTACATTTCTTAATGCGAAATGCGAAATTTTTTCATTTTCTTAATTTGTTTTATGGTGTAAAATTAGAATCCTTTATAAATAAAGTCGCTTGTTTTTATTTGTCGAATAAAGCTTTGGTAAAGCATTCATTACTTGACGAATAAATTTTGAGCATTAGCAGATGAAGCGTCAAGAGTCGCTAAGGCCCGTCGTTCTAAATTCGACATTTGGCAATAAGCAAATTGTTCAATGCCCATTTTACATAGGCAAAGTGCTTGAATGGCTCTGCCAGAAAATGGATTAAGCATTTGAGCAGAAGAAAATTGGAACTGGATAGGCGGCTAGGTTGGGGAAGTTACTCTGCGAAGTAAATTTGAAGAAATTTCTGGTTCGTGTGGGTCGATCTTTGCCGACAGACACGAATAGTATGCTCCTAGGTCAAGCAATTAATGAAAGGCAACTCGAAACAAGTTTGACTGCTTCATTTCACTTTTCTCCAAAATTTGTTAGATGCTGAGAGAACTATATTTTTGACTGTTTTATTTGATGTATTTTTCGAAAACTCCGATTGAATGGTTCAGTTAATGATTATGAATTTTAATATTTTGAGGTTATATGCGGAGATAGACCATGTAATTTTCGACAATTACAATTGATGAGATTGGAATACGCGTGGAGATTACGATGCCGCTACTATAGAATCTATAGTTGATAAATATGGTGTCAGGGTTCGATGCACCAGTGGAAAGCCTTCTTTGATTTGCTCAGCACCAATAGGCTTTTCGCTATTCTTTCAACATCACATCTAATCATATGGGACTTTTCAGATAACATTCCAGCGAGGTTAATTATATCTTGAATCATCGTTGGAAGAATTTCGTGTGATTAAATCATCCTTATCGCGACTCTGATAATCTTTGCTGGATCAGATTATGTTGTGGTTCGAGCCAAAATGTATAAGAAATAGCACATCCCAAGCCCGTCGTTCTAAATTCGACATTTGGCAATAAGCAAATTGTTCAATGCCCATTTTACATAGGCAAAGTGCTTGAATGGCTCTGCCAGAAAATGGATTAAGCATTTGAGCAGAAGAAAATTGGAACTGGATAGGCGGCTAGGTTGGGGAAGTTACTCTGCGAAGGACAGACACGAATAGTATGCTCCTAGGTCAAGCAATTAATGAAAGGCAACTCGAAACAAGTTTGACTGCTTCATTTCACTTTTCTCCAAAATTTGTTAGATGCTGAGAGAACTATATTTTTGACTGTTTTATTTGATGTATTTTTCGAAAACTCCGATTGAATGGTTCAGTTAATGATTATGAATTTTAATATTTTGAGGTTATATGCGGAGATAGACCATGTAA